GGAGGTATAAAGAGTGTAGGGCCCAGAAAGGAAGGGAGAGACGGGCGTGGAGACCCCAGTTCCCAAGGAGAACGGAAGAGTGGAAGGATGGAGATCTCAGACTCAGGAGAGAAGGCCTCCAGGTCCCAACTTTGGGAAGAGGCAGGGGAGGGGATAAAAATCACCAGATGCCAGGGGTAGCACAGGATATTATTTCCCTTCGCCGGCAGCACTTGAGAGCGGAACAGCCAAGCCCCATGGTGGCATAAGCAGTCCTCAAGGGCCCCCTTTGCCTCCTCACATTCTGGAAAGGTCTCTTGATTCTAGCTCAGCCTTTGTTCACGAATCTCATGGCCATTCTCCCTACCCATAGCTTGGACCCTAACCACTGTCTTCAGGAACAATGGATGTACAGCCTCTACAGTTGATGGCCCCTGATCCCTTTAGGGATAAAGGTGAGAACCATTTCGGGTCAGTGGCCCCTACCTGTCCAGTTAAACAGGAACAGAGGGAACTAAACAGAACGTTTTTTTTAGGTATGAGCCTAAAACTCGTCTTAAAAACCTCTTCATCCATTGGTGGCGCACGCCTTTAAACCCAACTCTCACTTGGGAGGCAGAGGCAGGTGGATCTCTGTGAGTTCGAGGTCAGCCTGGTCTACAGAGCGAGTTCCAGGACCACCAGGGCTACACAGAGAAACCCTGTCTCAAAAAACAAACAAAAATGTAGACAGCACAGATTCAGACCCCTTGCCAGGTTAGTTAGTTCTCTTGGACTACAATTGGGAAGTTTCAGGCATCGGACACTGGGGTGTGGGTGTGTATGTGTGTGAATGTGTTCTCAAAGGTATCCTTCATGGTATTCCAACACAGAAAAGACAAGACACTCAGGAAATGTCTTTTTCTTCCCAACTTTGATTCACAAAGGGTCTATCTAAAGGGTGTGCATAATAGAGTCTTCAGTGGGAGGTCAGACACTCTGGCCACTCAGTGGATGTTAGCAAATTGCCTGGCACAGCTCCCGAGCCCATCTTTTTCTCTCCCCTGACCTAAACCATGAGTGAGAAGTCAGTTGCTGTGGCCTTAGCCTGCCCTGCTTGGGAGTATCATAATTGAGTGTTCATTATGTGTCAGACAAATCTTGGAAAATCGTCCCCTTGGGCTTCTACATTCCACAGCTCTGTCTTTTTTCCGTCTTCAGTCAGGGATTCAATCAGGCAAAGACTTGAAGTATCCCTTCATTCAGGGGGCATTCTGATGTCAGTCTGTGTTAATGAGTGAGGGGTGGGGCAAATGTGGGGAGGGGCTGGAGGTTGGGTCACCCACCGGGAGCTTTTGTGGAGTAAGTCTCAGGGACTTCTTGGAGGAAGCTTATATCCTTATATCTTTCCCCAGCCTTCATTAGCTTCCAGCCCCTTCCAAGGTCTGAAGGTCACAACTGTAGAAGATGTTCACTGCTCAAGGACAGCCAATGGGAGGAGCAAATGGCAACTAGAGTAAAGCACACGCTACACTTGCTCCCTGGCATGTCTTGATACAGGCCGGCCAGCATTCAACCAAGTGACCAGTGCGCACAAAAGTGATTATGAACATTCATGACCCTACTGTGTTCTCCCTACTCCTCTTGCCTGCAGTAGAGAGGAGAGAGGTTAATTAATCCTAGTGTGGATTATAATGGGAAGGAAATAGAAGCTAAAACTCTCAACAGCAGTCAGATTAATACTTGTGGCTCTGGCCAGTCATTGGTGGTGCACGCCTTTAATCAATCTCAGCACTCTCGAGGCAGAGGCAGGTAGATCTCTGAGTTTGAAGCCGCTGGTCTACAGAACGAGTGCCAGGATAGGTTGGGGGGGAAGGGGGGAGGGTTTGTGGCTCTTCAGAAATTTGGGTATTGGTATGTGTGTGTGTGTGTGCGCGCGTGCGCGAGTGTGTGTTGTTTGAGACTTTAGAACAGTATGGGTTTAGGTTGGGAATGTAGCTCATTGGAAGAGTGTGTGCTTGCCCAGCATGCTCAAGGCCCTGTGTTTGATCCCCAAACAGTATAGTTTATAGATAACTAACCTGTATGTAGCCCTCACTCTGTGCCAGGTTCTAAGTGTTTCATCAAATGTAAAGCATTCTATTTTACCACACTAAACAGGTTTTGAAGTGAATTATTACAGCCCCCCCCTTTGGGGGAGTAGCTGGTAGCTTAGTGTAGTTTGGTAAGTTTGCCTAAAGTCACCCAGCTTGTCATCTGCAAGATGACAGTCTGTCCCAAATGCTTACGACCTTAGCCATTAGACTGCCATGCCACCTAACAGTAAACTAAAAGTATAGAGGAGGGACTTGGCTCTCTGCCTAAATCATACCAGAATTTCTGAAACTTACCAAAGTTCTTTTTCATTTTCCTATGTTGTGTCTTTATTAATATTTTATATATGTGGGTATTTTGCCTGTCTGTGTACCTCATGTGTGCTGGTCCCCATGGAGGCCAGAAGAGAGTGTCAGATTCCTGTAAGTGGAGATATAGGTGGTTTTAAGATACCATGTGGGTGCTGGGAATTGAACTCATAACCTCTAAAAGAGTAGCCAGTGCTGTCTTAGGTCTTCAGCCTCCTCCAAAAAAAAAAATTTTTTTTAAGACAGAGTCTTACTATGTAGCTCTGGCTGTCCTGGAACTCACTGTGTAGATCAGGCTGGCCTCAAACTCACAAAGATCTGTCTGCCTCTGCCTTTGCCTCCCATGTGCTGGGATTAAAAGTCTGCATCACTATTCCTGGCTCCAAAGTTCTTTTTTTTTTTTATCCAAACATTAAATATCTCCAGGAACAGTGTCTAGAAAACTTGTCCTATACTAATTAATGCTATTTATGCAAAATGCTGCTGCCTAAGATAATTACTAGCCAGCATTGCAACTATGATAATTAATATATTCACCTAACTTGGGGAAGTCTATTTGACAGAGCTGTTTGAAAATTGCCTGGTTTCCTATTTCTTTGTTATCAGTCATGTCTTCTGATTTAAAACAGAAGTAATTGATTTTTGTCTTGTTACCCTCCGTCTGTTCTAATTTCAGGGCTCTTCAGATTACTCCTCAACTCAAAAGTTTTACCCATATTCATGGTTTTTAACTATGGCCTAGAATCTGGACACTCTTCTCATACCCAGATTTCTCCACACAGGCCCTTCAGATACACACACACACACACACACACACACACACACACACACACACACACACCACCCCACACCACACCTCATGGATAGCGGTGTTCCAGGAATGGATTCCTTTGATTTTTTTTAGCTTCTACACACACATCTTGCCAGGTCTCCCCACACTTCCATCTCATGCCTGCTGCTCCTCTAACACCTCAGCTGCCTGCATTTCCCACATGCAGATTGCACACCTCTCCAAGTGGCTCTTTCCCCTTGACACTAGTAGCTTTCTGTCCTAGCTTACTCTTAAATCTAAGATGCCTTCCTTCCCCAAATCTCACAGCAGATGTTACCTGTCCCCGTCCTGGGCTCTGTAATTTCCAGGGCTCCTCACTAACCACTTGTCAGTTTTAGGTCTGCCTGTCGCTCCTTGCTGATAGGGGTCACATGTGATTTGTCTGTACAATGAAGGACCTAACACAGTTCCTGGAACAATGGAAAGTTTTCCTAGGTATTAGGTAAACTGGGCATGCCCAGCAGAGACGGAAAAGCACCATTGGAAGAACACTCCTTCTCTTGCAGGTGTCGAGGCTCCTCTGTTTCTCTCCCCAGAACCAGCAACACATGCTGTTTACACTGGGCTCTTCCTGCCCAGAACAAAGTGCCAGCTAAGATAAATCACTGTCAGCACCCGGGGTAAGTCCAGCTTTGATTTCTAAATTGACTTCCTCCTCACTTTCTCCTGTGTGTTTGGCTGGGATCTTTAGGTAAACTCCAGCTGACTGGGTCACCCACAGGGATGAGACCACAGGCTGTGGAGGTGACAGAAGTCATTCTTCCAAGACCTTTATCAAATGAATTACTTCAAAGGCTAAAGGAAATTGGAGAAGGGTTAGCCTGGACTACATAGTGAGTTCTGGTCCCAACTGTGCTACAAAATGAAACCCTGATTTACAATGAGAGAGATAGGGAAGAAGGGAGAGGTGAGGAGGGTGAGGATGGGGGGGGCAGGTATGAATCATATTAGGGACTCTGTCCTTACTGTCATAAAAACATCCGGACTTTCTTATCTTCAGTCTCAGGTAAGATAGGAACAGTGAGATGAGCCCATAAGAGGAGGTGTGTATAACCTCCCCTCCCTTCCCCTCCCTTCCCCTCCCCTCCCTTCCCCTCCCCTTCCCCTCCCCTCCCAAACCCTCCCCTCTCCACCCCTCCCCTCCCCTCCTCTCCCCTCTCTCCTTTCAACAAGGATGGAGTTTGAATACAGGGCCTCACACATGCCAGGTAAGTGCTCTGCCATTTAACAGTATCCCCAGCCCTGCCTGCCTGCCTGCCTGCCTGCCTGCCTCCCTGCCTCCCTGCCTCCTTCCTTTTTTGAAATACTTAAAAATATTTTCTTTTCTGTTCTTCGTACCAAACTCAAGGCCTTGCCCATGCCAAACAAGAACTCTATGGCTAAGCCACACCCCCAGCCTTCTTTTAAGAGTAATTTTGAAAAATATAAAACCAAATAAACAAACCAACCAGAAAATAAGCACTTTGACTCCTCAGACATACTAAAATGTAACTAAGCTAGCAAAGAACTTGGGGCGGGGCGGGGGCCCTCCAAGGTGGGTGTCTTTTCACTAGGAAAATGGAAATCTATTCTACATTTCAACATAAGGTAGCCCTACTTTTTTTCAAGTTTATTTATGGGTGAGCACATGCTACAGTGCTCAGGTTTAGAGGTCAGAAGGTTAAATAGTTTTTGTCAGTTTAATACAAACTGGAGTTACCTGGGAAGAGAGAACCTCAGTTAAGGCATTACTTCCATCAGATTGGCCTGTGGGCATGTCTATGGGTCATTTTCTTGATTAATGATTGATGCAGGAGGGCCCAGCCCACTGTGAGCAGTGCCACCCCTGGGCAGGTGGCCCAGAGTTGTATAAGAAAGCCGGCTGAGCAAGGCGTGAGCAGTGTTCCTCTTTGGCCTGCTCTGCTTTAGTTCCTGCCCTGATTTCCTTCTGTGAAGAATTGGTGCCTAGAAATGGCATGAAATAAGCCTATCCACCCAACGTTGCCTGCAGTCAAGGTATTTTTCACAGCTATAGAAACCTAATACATGAACAAGTTGTAGGAGTTGTTCCTACCTTTCACCATATAGGGCCCGGAGATTAAACTCAGGTGTTCTGGCTTGGCAACAGATGCCTGTACCCACTGAGCTATCTTGTCGGCCCAAAGCCAACTTCGAAAAAAATCTTTAAGGTGCATAACTTAGTGGATATATATGTATGTATGTATGTATGTATGTATATGTATATGTACATATATATGTATGTTTTATATACATATATCTTTGAGGTCAGCACCCTATCAAAATTTAAAACTTTTCATCATCCCCAAAACAAAATCTTCTGGGGGTTGTAACATGTGACTTTCATCTCAGCACAGGAGGTAGGCAGATCATTGTGAGTTTAAACCCAGCCTAGTTTACATGACAAGTTCTAAGACAACCAGGGGCTACATAGACAGACTGAAAAAAGCAAAACAACATCAAAAATCATTACCATTGGCAATTATTCTCCTATTCCTTTCCAGTCTTTGCCAGTCTACTTTCTACCTCTGTGGATTTGCCTGTTCTAACATTTCATACAAATGGAATCATACAGTATGGTATTTCCTGGCTATTTTGCTAGTACAATATTTTCGGGTTTACATGTCACAGTGTAAGTCAGTGCTTTATTTTATGAGTATGCTTTGCTTTCCCAATAGTTGATGGACATCTGACTTTTTCTGTTCTGGGCATCAAACCTAAGGCCTCAACCATGCTCAGCAAGAAATCCATCATTTATTCTACTTTTAAACTCTTATAAATATGCTGCCAGAAAGATTTGTGTGGATAAAGTCTTCATTTCTTTTGGTTATGGAATTTCCCTTTTTCTAGGAGTGGAATTTCTGGGGTTTTATGGCAACTTTATCCTAACCTTTCAAAGAATAGCAGATTGTTTTCCCAAACTACTATATACCATTTTACATTGCTATAGGCAGTGCATGAAGTCTCTTCATGTCTTCATCAACATCTGTTTGTTTGTTTGTTTGTTTCTTTATATGAGACAGGGTCTCACCGTTTATCTCTGGCTGGCCTGGAATTCATTATGTAAACCAGGGTAGCCTCGAAATCACAGAGATTTGCCTGCTTCTGCCTTCTGAGTGCTGAGATTAAAGTTGTGTGCCACCACATCCTTCCATATATTTATGCATGTATGTACAAACATACAAGTATTTGTTTATTTTGAGAGAGGGTCTTATGTAGCCTAGGCTGGACTCAAAATATGTTGACAGGGATGGCTTTGAATTTTTTATCCTCCTGCCTCTACTTCCCAAGTGTTGGGATTAAAGTCATGTGCCACACACCCATTTTTATTATTGAACTTAAAAAAGTGCGCGCGCGCGCGTGAGTGTGTGTGTGTGTGTGTGTGTGTGTGTGTGTGTGTGTGTGTGTGTGTGTTAAAAGGTAATTTGAGGGAGTCAATTCTCTCTACTATGTGGGATCCAGGATCAAACTCAGGTCATTAGGCTTATCTGCTGGCCAAATTATGTGACTTCTTTTGTTTGTTTTGTTTTTTGAGACAGGGTTTCTCTGTGTAGCTTTGTAGACCAGGTTGGCCTCAAACTCACAGAGATGCGCCTGCCTCTGCCTCTGCCTCCCAAGTGCTGGGATCAAGGTGTTTGCCACCACCACCTGGATCTTTTAGATTTTTTTAAATTGTGTGTCTCTGTATGTGAGCGAAAGTGCTTACAGAGACCAGAAGAGTCAGATCCCCTGGAGTTAGAGTTACAGGTGGTTGTAAACTGCCTGATCTAGGTGTTGGGTGCTGGGTGTTAGGTGCTGGGTGCTGGGAACTGAACTCAGGTCCTCTGAAAAAGTAGTATGCACTGTTAAGTGCTGAACCCTCTCTCCAGCCTCTATGTATTCTTTATATATTCTAGACACTAGACCCTCCTAAGACCCTGGTTTACAAATATTTTCTCCTTTTCTGTGGGGTGTATTTTCAGTTTCTTGACAGTCCTTTGAAGCACAAAAGTTTTAAATTTTGACAAAATACAATTTGTATTTTCTTTTTCCATTCCTGCTTTGATGTTATATCAAAAAAGCATTACATGACCCCCAAATTACAAAGATTTACTCTTGTATTTCCTTCTAAGAGTCTTAGTGCTTCCATTGTTAAGTCAATGATCTGATTCTTTCTTCCTTAATTCCTTTCTTTCTTTCTTTCTTTCTTTCTTTCTTTCTTTCTTTCTTTCTTTCTAGCAGGGTATATAGTCCTTCCTGGCCTGGAATACTTAGAGACTGCCTCCAGAGTACTGTGTTTAAGTGTGTGCCACTATACCTGCCCTGAAGGAACTTTTACATGAATGTAAGGTAGGGTCCATATTCTTGTTTTGAATGTGATACCCAGTTATCCCATGTCATTAGCTGAAAAGACTTGTCTTTAGACCCTTGTCAAAAATAATGACTGTTAATGTGAAAGCTAACTTCTGTACTGTCAATTCAACTTCATCAGTACACTTACTGACCCTTCTGCCAGCACTGAACTGTTTCCATTACTGCAGCTAACAAGCAGCAAATGGCTCCTTTAGCTTTGCCTTTCTCAGGGTTTGGTCAGGGGAAGCAGAGTAGACTTAGTTGTACACACCTTGGCACTTGGAAGACTAAGACAGGAGGATCATGAGTTCCAGGCCAACCTTGGCGACATAGAGAGATCTAGATGAGCTTGGGCTGCATGGAAAGACACTATTTCACACACACACACACACACACACACACACACACACACACACACCACTGAACCATTCTGGGTCTTTTGAATTTATAATTTATATTAGAAACTCTAGTTGAAGGGAGTGGTGGGATAGCTCAGTGGCTAAGAATGCTTATCATTCTTCCAGAGGATCAGTTCCGTTCACAACATCCACACCAGGCCACTCACAACTGCCTATAACTCAATTTCCAGGGGATACCATACCCTCTGGTCTCCAAAGGCACTTGCATGCATATAGTACACATAAACTCACATAGACACACACATATACACATAAAAATAGATCTTTTTAAAAACTCTAGTTGATATTTTAATAGGGGTTGTATTGAATCTAGGAAGAACTGCCAACTTGGTAATATTAATTCTTCCAAATTTCCAAGGTCATTGGAGACATACATATACACAACCCAGTTTAACACGGGTCAGACTCCATTGAGACCTGTGACTAGAATAAGTAAAGGGCTTGGAAGGCACAGAGTTGGAGGCAACGGATTTGCTTAAAGAACCAGGGAGCAGAGGAGCTGACATTTGATATAAAAAGTGGGTGGGATTTAGGGGGAAAGGATCGTTCTCTAGATAGAATGATCACATGGACTCAGCAAGGAATGGTAGGAAGCCAGTGTGCTGAGGAAAGAAGTGGGTGAGAGAGGCAGAGTCCAAAGGATGAGCAGAGGAGTTAGAGTCTAATCCTAATGAGACTACTGCAGGGATCTGGCTTGGCGAACCTTCATCATGAGTTATAGTATAGATAGCCAGGCTGTGATGGCGCACACCTTTAATCTCAGCACTCAGGAGGCAGAGGCCAGCAGATCTCTGTGAGTTTGAGGCCAGCCTGGTCTACAGATTGAG